TGTCCTGACTCTAGTCTTTAATCTCACTATTTTCACTTGGATGAAAATCTTTAATGCTTTTAAATGGGTTGTCAACATAGCAGCTACCACTTTGGAGCCCAGACTCTGTGGCAGGCACTGTGTGAAGGGTTCTCCATGCTGTACCTCCTTTATTCCTCAAAAGAATGTCTGCCCCATTTTAGAGATGAGGAAATGGGGAGTTGACAGTCATCTAGTTGTCCAGCAGTGGAGCCAGGATTGGTACCTGCGCTGACACCAGAGCCCAGGCTCTTACCCACCGAGCTGGAAGGGTCACCTCTGGGGATAACTCATGCTTGGCCGAGCCTGGGAAGCTCTGCAGCGCTATGGTAAAGGTCTGCCTGAGCTTCCTACCTGCCTCCTACCCGGAGCTCAGGCCGGAGTCCTGGCGGGAAGGGAAGCATCTCTTTGCAGCATGGACAGATTAGACATGTCCTCTGGTGCCTGTGGAGATCAGCAACTGTGCTTCTCCTCTGAAGCCAGAGGGGCGACCATAGCCTCCATCCCTGCCATCCCAAGCCAAGTAGGCTTGCTAGATAAAACACAGGACACTCAATTAAACTCGAATCTCAGATACACAATGAATGATATTTTAGTGTATGTCCCACATACTGTATGGATATGCTTATACTAAAAAATTATTCATTGCTTATCTGAAATTCAAATTTAACTGGGCATGCTGCATTTTTATTTGTTACATCTGGCAACCTCACTTCCAGAAATCATGGAACTTTGCTTGGCTGGACAAGCTGTGGTCTACCCAGGTTCCTCTCTACACACACACACATCCCTCTCTGCATCCCTAGATCCACTGACCATCTCTTGTCTGGCTACAATTGAATTAAACTGTACTGGGGGCAGAAGACACCCCAGGGTCCTTCTACAGCTAAGAGACCAGATTAACCATGCCTAATTGCTGCTGGTTCGAGAGCCAGCTTTCTGAAACAAGACTCGCAGTTCTTCCCCACCCCCTTGTACTTTCCTGTTTTCACGCTTGAAATCCCTCCACCGGGTAAATTCTTCCTGGTTCAAACTTGTTGTAAAGGCAACTCTCATTCCTTTTATAATCTCTCCATGGATCCCATGACAAGCTTTCCTGCCAGTACAGCTTCTCCCCCCATGGCCTTTCAGCAGAGCGTGTTGGGGGTGGGGGGGAGGTTAAATCCCAGGGCTGTTTTGTGGGTGGCTTCTCAGAAACCACACTGAGGCCTTGAAAAAGGGCCTTGGAGATTTAGACTGAATACAGCGCCAAGGAGGAAGTTTTGAGTTGGCATGGAAACTTCTTGTCTGATGTTTGTGGGCCCAGATAAGCTGCTCCAGGCTCCTGTTGGCTTGGAGAAAGGGAGGCAAAAATGAAAGGAAAGATGTTTTTGAAGTTTTTTTATGCAAACTGCAGCCCCAGCCCACTATAGATACAGGAAAATTCCCCAGCTCCCAGTCATGACAGCCTCTCCTGGTCTTCACTGTCGCCCTTCCTTTTGGCTCCTTTAGTCCCCAAGAAAACAGACTTCAGAGGGACGGGAGATGAGTGTAGGAGGGGTGTGCTCAGCCTCTGGGATCCCCCTGCAATCCTCAGTGCGGCTGAGCAAGGATTCTGATCCCCAGGCCCCTGGCATTCCAGAGTCCTTCCTTTCGGGCGAATGAGAAGGCCTCCAGGGAAGGCCACACAGACCAAGGCAGGAGGCAGCAACGGGGGCTGGACTCGGCCCTTACCTGGAGTAAACTCCTAAAAGGTTCATCTGCTCAGAGGACCTCTATTTTCCAATACTCAAAACGGACATGCCTGAACCACAGGTGAATCATAACTGTAGTTGGTTGGAAAAGGTTGCTCTTTCTCATATTTTTCATTTTTATTGCTTTTTTCTGATAGCAAAAGCAATATATGCTTGGGTTTGCTTTAAGCCACAAACACTACAAAAACGTAGTGACAAAGGAGAAGGGCCTGTAATTTTATGCTGTGGAATAGTGGTTCTCAAACTCCCGAATATAAACAAATCCCCCCAGGGACATGTTAAAAATCCAGATTCCTAGGCCCCTCCCTCATAGGTTCTAATACAGCAGTCCAGGAGCGTGGCCCAGTAATTCCAGTTTAACACGCATTCTAAATGATATCTAATAGTGACATCTGAGATAGATTGATGTAGAACTGAATTCTTTTGACAGTTTAATGTATATGCCTCCAGATTAGTTTCTATGTATGTACTACACATATACTATATACTATACTAACTTTTTTATCTTGGGAAAAAAGCGGGGGGAGTCATACTACATGTGATTTTGCTGTTTTATTTTTCACCAGACATGTGGTGGATATCTTTTCGGGTCAATAAACAGACACGCTATTGACTGCGTCCCATCATGGGATGTAGCCTAATCTCTCACTGATGGCTGTGGCTTGGGAAATGGTGGCTATTGATCGCTGATCTCACACACAGTTACACACACACGTATGCACTCACATGCACACACACACACAGCAAGATGGTGCTATAACAAGCTCAGGATATCAGTGTTTCTGGTGTCTGCAAGTCAACAGTAGTTACTGAGCACCATGGTACTGGGACAGGAACACTAAGAAGGACAGGAGAGGTCCCTGCCCTCAGGCTGGCAGTCTGGTGGGTCAGCCTGATGGGTTTGTACCCGAGTTGGACTGTGAGAAGAGCTACAGTGGAAGAAGTACAGTGAGTCCCAACTGCCTGGGGAAAATGGCCCCCAACCTCGGGGGATTCCTGCCCAACACTCGTTGGCGCTTGGCTGCTCCGGGGCTGCCATCAGTCTTCCAGTAAAGGGAACGCAAAGTGGGAATGGAGGCCATTGCTGGCACGAGGGCTCTCAGAGTCTGCTCCTCCAGAGTGAGCTGGATTACGGGGTTCTGTCTCTCCAGGTGGTGAGCACAAGCTGTCAGCAGTCCTCCTGCCCCAGGATCCCTCTTATTCCTGCAGCTGTCAGAGGGCACTGGGACTGGTTCAGGCAAGCCACTGTGGGCCCCAGGAAATGCCCAAAATAGTCATTTGTGCAGCAGGACAACGTGTGGCTGGGGACCAGGGGCAGCGAAGAGTGGTTTGACAAGACCGCATTTAGTTGTAGTCTTCCATGTCAGAATTTCGTGAAGTTAAGCCACAGCAGGATGGGAAGCTGGAGGAGGCTACCATGCAAAGTACCTCAAGAGAAGCAGAAGTTAGGAAGAAGAAACGAAAAAGACCACGTGTTGTTTCCAGAAAATTGTTCTATACCTGAGAATTCGTGACCCTCTAAGTGTAAGTGGCTGCAGAATGGCCGGCTTGGCCAAAGCTCCCAGGACATGCAAGACCTGCCCCCCGCCCCCTCTTCTGCCCTGTCTCCCACCGTCCCCTCACCCCCAACACTCCAGCCCCCCGGGCGTTCTTCCATCAGGCCAAGCTCATTCCCCGCCCCGGGGGCCTGTCCCTCTCACTGGAATCCTCTCCTATGGGAACAGTCTCCACCTTGCTGACTCCTTCTCACCATTCAGACCTCCCTGTAACCTCACCTCCTCGGTGTCCACCCTTCCTGAGCTGCCAGTCCCTCCTTTCACCTCACCCCGTCTTAATTTCATCATAGCATTCGTTGTAGCTTCATGTTTTCTTGTTTGCCTCCTTATTTTTTGTCTGTCCCCCTGCCTTGAGTGTAGGTTACCTGAGCACAGGGTTGTGTCTCATTCACACTGTAGCTCCAGCCCTGGAACAATGCCAGGAACACAGTAGGTACTCAATAAATGTTGGTTGAATGAATAATAGAAGCCAAAGAGGACAAGAAACGCATTTTTAACGCCCCACTCCACGTTCGATGTATGCCATGGGCCTCATCGCCTTCCAGCCAGCCAAGACCCTTCATGAGAAAGCGAAGTTGGAACGAGGGCCATGTTTAACTGGTAGATGCCAGCTTCCTCACTGGGAGACTAAGGATAATGACAAAAGCTGGAAAACACTTCCAAATTTTCAAGTGAACGCTGATTCTGAAACTCAGAGAATGCCTCCTTATCTGCAAGCACCCAGGTCGGCCTTCAGCACCTACACACACTCTTTATTTTTACATCCACATTCACTCACTGAGCCACGATTTATGGAAGAGAGATTCTGCCAGGCTCAGTGCTACATGCTGGGGCCCTGCCCTCAGATCACGCTGCGTCCGGTTCTCTCTGCAGGAAAAGTCCTATTTGCTGAGCGTTGACTGCATGCTGTCACTAATGTCATGTCACCTATGTTATCTCCCAACCACCCTGTTTTTCTCTACATTTGACAAACACAGAAACCAAGGCTCAGGGGCATCGGGGGCTGCCAAAGGGGTTGGTGCCCGAGCCGGGCTGACACAGGCGTGCTCCGGCCCAGAGCGGGTCAGCTTCAGCTCCCCCACACTGTCTCCTGTGCCACATCCTGTTGGCTCCTCCCTGAAGTTCAGATGAAGTTCAAGGTATCAAGTAAATAATGTGGATGGAGTTTTCGACACATTCGTGGACGACCAAGAACTGACCCAATGCGATTTCCCCTCCCTTGACCCCCAGAGCTGTTCTCTCCTGAAGAACTCGACGCTGCAGCAGGAAGCCCGGCTCCCCCTCCGCCGGGATGTGCTGGAATGCACTCTCACTGACCCTCTGTTAGAAACAAGGGAAATGCCTCTATTTGAGCCGCCTTGCTCAGAACAAAGCTTGGCGTGTTTCTTATTCCTCAACAATCTGACAAAATAGGTATTTATTTGTGCCTCTCAAGCATGTGGCTTGGACACGGTGTTCCGCGTCGTGGAAGTGGCCCTGTACCAAGTGAAATACCCGTTACTATAGTAACAGTTCCTTTTTATTGATACGAGAATAAACAGGAATGCAAAGCTGCCTCACTCGCTGGCACATTTGAGCTGCCTGCCATCCCCAGGGGTTTAAGAACCGCCCTTTGGAGGCGGCCCTCCTGGCTAGTCTGGGACTTCCCGGTGGAGCCAGGAGCCAGCAACACTGCTCCCGAGTTCCCTGCCCGACGGCGCAGCTGAGAAGTAAGACCATTTCTCTTCTGTTTCACCTGCTGTCGAGCTGTGCCGGGAGGAGGTGCAAGGGAAGGAGGGCAGCCTCGGAGCACCAGGTGGGCCGTCAGGGGAGCTGAGCTCTTCGTGCCTAGGCACCGGGCCTATGTCCCTGCATCTGAGAAGTGTTTGGGGGGGTGCCTCCTGGCACCCTGGGTTTGGGAACAGGATAGAAGGCCAAGTGGAGGGAGTGCCAGATCCAGCCCTCCATTCTTTTTGATTTCTGTCTTCTAAATCCTTAGATGAATCTGCATTTATGCACGCTATGACCTCACCTAAGCCCATTGGGTGACGGTTTTAATTCTCTTCATAACTGATAGACAGGAGGCCAGAGTGCTCAGGGTGGCGCAACTGGGAGAGTACAGGTTTTGGTGTCAGTCAGAGCTCCGCTCAGATCTAGCTTCTTCATTCGAGGACTGTGTGATCTGGGGAAATCAGATGACCCCTTGGAGCCTCAGTGTCTTCATCTGTGCAAAGGGGTGATGACAGTACCCCCCTCCTCAGTCTGCTGTAAGAATTTCATGAGATGTGGCTGTGAGGGGCTTGGCACAGTATGTGACACATAGCGAGCGCACGTCAGCATGCTAACTGCCTGCCTTTCCGGTGAATTTGGCTTTAGCGTTTTACAATACAAGGCAAGTCTGGGCTTGAGCCAAAAACCAGGGCTTATAGGAATGGGTGTGTCACCTTTTGGAACTGTTACCAAACCCAGGTGGTTCCCTGGCTGAGGCAGCCCCAGTACCTGTGTCTCCGGTGTCTGTGATCCTGTGTGGCTCTTAGCGCTGTTGGTGGTAAGTACCTGCCGGGGGCAGGTGGAGTGGCTGGCGTCATGCCACTGGAGGGCCAGCAGGAATATCTGGCCTGCTGACACTTGTGCCTTGATCCACTGCACAGCACTGTCCACCAACCTCGCTAAGGACCAGGCATGTCCAGCCCTGGACTTGGCCTTGGAATTCATTCAAAGCCCCGAATGCCCACCCAGACTTGCTCTTCACAAACTAGGAGGTCACAAGGCAAGATGCTGTGTTGAATCATTTTCTCCCAGGGTAGGGAAGTGGCATCTAGCTGGACAAGCAGCTCTGACGGGGGCTTCTAGGCATCGGCCACAGTTGCCGGGAGATCTGAGTGGTTCCCCCACACACTGTCCTGTGGTTGCTGGCCAGTGGAATACAAACGGGCACTTTCCCACTGGGAGGAAAAACGACAAGGGTTGGGAAATCCATGGCCACACTTGTCACTTTTCCTGAATGCCTCTTTCTGCTTTGCCAGTGCCTCCCTTCTCCTCTGCCCCTCCACCCCATGGAAGGTTGAACCAAGGTCACAGTCTGTTCTGAACCCAGCAGCTTGAGCAGTGATAAGGAACAAGGGCTGGGCGGGGTGGGGGGAGGCGGGGGCAGAGGAGTGAAGACTGGCCAACACCCTGGGGAGGGAAGGCCACCAGCTGGTCCCCTCCTAACAAAGACCAGCCGTGGGCAGACAGACCTGTGGATTCCGGCTTAAGCCCCAAGCGGCTTGTGAGAGTTTGTTTTTCGTATGGGCCGGGAGTCCTCCAAGAACCAAGCCTCCATTTCCTCCTCTATAAAATGGGCTCGCACTGCCTCTTCATTGGGGTTTCTTGAGTACCCAGGGAGAGAGAAGGGATGTAAATCTTCTTTGTTAACTGAAAGACGCTTTGCATCTAGAAGATAGCAGAGTGGTAAAGAGAGCACTGAATTTGGAGTCTGAAGGTCCTGGCTGGGCCATTTACTCTGTATCTTGGGACAAGTATCTTGGCCTCTCTAAGCCTCAGTTTTCTCATCTCCAAAATGGGAATAATAAAATAATACCACTGGCTGCCTCCCAGCAGGATTGTGAGATCCAGGTGGAGGTGAGTGAGCCTTCTTCAGGTGTCAAGTGCTGGCCACAAGTCCCCTCAGGACAGGAGACCCACACTTCACCCTTGGTGAGCATCACTCTGCCAAGCCTGGGCTAACCATATCATACACATTATCTCATTTCACCCCCCACACAGCCCCATGAGTAGGTATTGCCATTATCCCCACTGTACAGGGGCTCAGAGAGGTTAAGCTATTTGCCCAAGGTCACAGAGCTAGGAAGGGGTGCCACCAAGATTCAAACCCAGTCTGTCACCTCCAAAACATCTGCTTTAACCATGTTGCTTTACTGGGTCACGTATCATTTGTTATCATTGATGCCATCAAGGACGGAACCAGAACCACCAGGGCAGGGGAGAGGGCAGATGAAGGGGACATTAAGGCCTTAGACAGCCTGGGGTCCCTCAGCTATTCTCAGGACGAACTGGGACCTGGGTCTTCATTGGTGCCACATCCCTCCCATCTCTCCTTATCGCTCTCCTGCACCGGGGGGCGCCAGTGTTTGGTTTCAAAGCTGCCCCCCTAACATTAGCCACGCGCACCCCAGCGGCCTGGTGAGCTCACCCTGGGAGCAGTTAGTGATCCCAGCCGAGCCTCGCCTGGCGTGGGGCTGACGTCCTGCAGAGCCTCCAGGGAGGAGCGGCGGGACCTCTTGGGTCATCAGCAGAACTGGGAAGACGCGAGAAGCTCCCCGTCTCTCCTCGGACCTCTTATTATTACCCCCCTGCCCTGAAAGATGAGGTCGGGCCTACAGGCTGCATATTAAGTGAGAATTATTTGCCCATCTCGTAGTCATGCAAGACACTCAATGTAGCTGATGTCTTCCAGCTGCCTCTACCCCGTGCCCAGCACTTTAGCTCGTCCAATCTTCACAGCATTTTGATTTTACAGGGGAGGGTCCTGGAGGTTAAAGACGCATCCAAGGTCACCCAGCTGCTAAGAACTGTGACCTTAATCAGACCTGCCACGAAAACCAGGCCAGCCAGTTGGCTGAAATCACTCAGGCCAAAGCAAAGAAGCTTGGTTTGTTTGTTTTTGTTTTTTTTTTTAACTCCATGGTTTGCAAAGTTGGCTGACTACTGGAATCAACCGGGGAGCTTTTTAAAATCCCGAAGGCCTCCCAGGCCAATTAAATCAGAATCCCTGGGGCAGGACTCGGGCATTGGTATTTTAAAACTTCCCCTGGTGATGCCAAAATGCAGCCAGGGTTAAGATCCACCAATTTAGCCAGTGTAGTTTTTAGGAGGATGAGAAAGCTCAATCCAAGAGTAGAATGGGATTTATTAATAGTAATTGTTAATAACAGCTAACAAACTGGCCACACGGTGCCATTCCAGGGGCAACACTCAGTTTAATTTACAGGAGTGAGGCCCTAGAGTTGCGCAGTGTACAACCTGCCTCACTGTATGTGGCAACCCTGATAGCTAGCACTTATTAAGTCCTCGACTCTGTACTAGGCACTTGCCAAGCTCCTTGCAAGTTATTACTGCATTTATTTTGCAACAACCTCATGAAGAAGGGTGCTGATCAAAAGCAGCTGTCCCACCTACTCTGCTGTTCTAGTGGAAAGCAGCCACAGACAGTAAGTAGTGAGTGGGCGTGGCTGTGTTCCAGAGGGCCTGGATTTGCTCCAAAGGCTGTAGTTCCAGGACTCCTGCTGCAGAGGGCAGGTAAACTGGCCCAGGGCTAAGAAGGGGCAGAGGCAAGATTCAAATCCAGGTCTGAATGGCTCCGACGGCCACACACTTCCACTTCATTCCACATTTCTTTGACAACCAGGGAAGGATATTCACTAGCCACTTAACTTCCTCCTCGATGGGCCTCTTCCTCTCCCCTGCCAGCTCTTCCTTTGAGTGTTCATCTTTCTTTTCCAAGATGACCTGTCTAATGCTCACCTCACCTCTTGGCCCCATCGTGGCCATTTCCTGGAATCTCGGATCTCTCGAGACACCCAGCCTGAGAGACCTGGCCAGAGCAGCCCTAGGAATGGACCCCACCTCTGCTCCAAAGGCCCAGCTGACTTCCAGGACAGCCCGGGTTTTCTTGGCCCAGCACCTGTGCTTTGCTAAGTTGCCCCTTTGTTCTAGCACCTATATGAGGCTCTCCTACATGGAAGCCTCTTTTAATGAAACGAGAGGCAGGAAGGCTGGCTCTGCAGCTCTCTGAGCCCTGGCACACACACCTGTCCATGGGTTTCACACGTGTTGTTTGCTGGAGTTCAGAACCCTAACTGGCAAAGGCAGCGGTTTTCCCGGCCTGCAGCTCTGGGATGAAGAACCAGCCACATCCTTCAGGGTTCCTGCGTCAGCTACCACACCACCCTGGCCTCAGGGAAACACCATTCCCCACTGCTCAGCTCTGATTTTTTTTTTTTTTTTTTTTTTAAAGGCCTTGAGCAGATCGTTGACCCAGAACTGGTGACTGATTAGACCTAGGGTGCAGAACTGGCCACATAATTTGCAGGGCCTAGTACAAAATGAAAATGCAGGGCTGCTCTTCTAAACTCGACCCTGGACAGGGTCGTACTGCCTCAGTGGGGCCCGTCCCGGGGCAGCCACCCCATTTGGCTGGCTGGTGACCCATGGGGTGAAGGTTCTCAGCCTGGCCAATCAGATGTTTTTCCTCTGGAATTCAACGGGAGAGAGAGACAGAGACTGCCCATTGGAAGTGAAAGAAACCAAAGTCATATAAAAAATTCCCCAAACCTGCTGACAGTTTTTCCCCACATAGCAGCGAGCATGACCTTTTAAAAATCGAATCCGACTCGATCTTTCCCGACTTGAACCCACCCGTCCACCCTCACTCCAAACACTCGCCGTGTCGCTCTCTCACGCCACTCCAGGCACACTGTGCCTTTTTGTTCCCTGAACAGACCGAGCTTGTTCAAGGTACGTGAGTCACACATGCTGTCTCTCTGCCCCGAACAGCCTCCCTCCTCCTTCTCAACCGTCAGATCTTAAATGTCGCCTCCTCTGAGAGGCCATCCCCCTGCACCTGGCTAAAGGTGGGTCCTCGCTTTAGTCTCTTCCCCAGCCCTCTGGTTCCTTCAGTGGGCTCCTCACAATTTGTAATCGTTTATTTTTATTGCTTTGTGTCATGTTTATTGTCTGCCTCCCTAGGAGAATGTCAGCTCTGTGACAGCGGGAACCTGGCTTGCTTAGTTCACTTCTGTGTGTCCAGCCTCCACCACCACACTTGGCAAATTATAGGAACTCAAACATATTGTAGCATGCATGAATAATTTTATTATGTGTACTTTCTCAATGGTCATTCCTCTTTTACAGGAGTTCTTGATTTTGTGGACTAATTTTGCTTCTGGACACATTATTGAATTCTCTCGTTGGTTCCAAATGCTTTTCTGTTAATCCATTTGGGAATTCTGGGGATATAGTGGTATCTTATACAAATACTAATTCTGCCCTCTCCTTCCCCAAAGTTATACTACTTATTTCCGTTTCCTGCCTTATCGCTTTGTCAACATACAGGTAGTTATTTTAAAGATAGTGTGACTCATGAAAATTATGAAACTCTGGAAGGTTTGGGGCACAAAGGGGCTACGGGTAGGGTGAACAGCCAAGGGGCTGCAGTAGTTATCTCAGTGCATGTGATGATGGCCTGGATAAGATGAGAGCGGAGGACATAGGAAGGGAAGCGTATAGCTGAGAATTACCCAGGTAAAGGATTGGTGGGACTTGGTAATAGGAATAGGCAACAGAAGGGGGAAACGTTCCCAGAACTCCAATCCGAATCAGAGTATTCTAATGCATTGGCTCCCAGACAACTTAATCCCATGGACTAAGAAAATATCCACATTTTTAAAAGGGGAGGGAATTGATATAGCCAACGGTTTATTTTGTCAAGCGTCCATTTTTAACAAACCACCAGATACTACCACAGTCATTTTTTAAGAACCAAAAAATTAGGAGGGATATAACCTGAAAACAGTTTTGTGTGAAAAAAGAGAAGATAGGAAATTAATTAGAATTCTCATTTTAGAAGCAGTTCTAAGAATGTGAATTAAAGAAAAAAAATTAGCAGATATGTCTCTATGTTCTGACACTTAATCTGGCTACATCCAAAATATCTTATAATAATTAACACTTTTTCCAGTTTACACAGCACCTTTATAAATTTTGGTCTCACTTAATCCTCCTAACAGCCCCCTGCAATAGGTAATAATAGAAATGCCAAACATGTGTCTGGCATGCCACCATTTGCAAAGAATGATCTCCCCTTGGATGCCTACATTCCCTGACATGTCACCTTGCAATTTACACCACATCAAACCCCCTCCTCCTGTATTTTCCAACCCCACTGAGCTATTACCCACTTCCAGGGTTTTGCACAGACCACCATTCCTGTCTAGTTTATTTGGAGAACTCCTGTTCATCTGTAAAAACCCCCTCAGGCAGAGAATGGCTTTCATCTTCTTCCCAGCAGGAAGGAGGTTGGGGAGGGGCTGAGAAGTGAAGGTCTGTCCATAGGCAACATGGTGGTCCTCAAGAGGGGGACTGAACCCTGGTGTGTGAGGTGGAGACACACCCCCTCAGTTGCCACATGGAAATCACATGCTTTAAGGCACTGGTGCCCCAAGACCAATCTCTCTGAGCGTCGGTGTCCTCATCTGTACAACTTCAAAGGTTTTATTATCAATTACCAACAACTGTTTATTCAGTGCCTGCCACATACGAAACACTGCCAGTGCCTGGCATACAGAAGAATCAACCTCAGAAAAGCAGGACTCATGGAAGGGGCAGAGCCAATGCTGAAATTTTCATTCTAATTACTATAAGCAGCTAATGGCCAGGCTGTGTCACCCTTTTGAGACTTTTTCTTAAGAAGTCTTGCTCTCTCTCTCACTCTCGTACTTGCTTTGGGGCATTTCAAGGATACAGAGACAACTTGTAGAAAAGGGAGCCCTTCTGCCTGAATTTCAAGTAAACTGACAAATTTCAGGCTGCTATGTGGAAGTGAGGCCATTAAGAAGCCAGACATCTGCATTAAGATGACAACTGTCCCTTTGTAATTAGAGACACAGCAGTCCCGGGATTTCAGACTCTTTGATCTGGAGAAAGTAGAAAGCTGGACGCTTCCACGAGGGAATTTGGAACTATGGAGAGGGAAGTCGAACAATAAGGGGTGATATTTTCTTTTGATCACTGCATTTATCCAAATTGTCTTTAACAAGTACATATTGCTCTTTTAAAATATCTTTTCTTTTTCTGATACAAGCTTATTGAAAAAACAGAAACTCAAACATAATTCTTTTTATAGGAGGGAAAATTGTTTTTTTCAAAGTCAGGCCAGAAACATTTGCACATGTCAACCCATATTTTGTGACCCAGGAGCACTTTACCTCTATACCCACTTTACAAACATCATCTCCAATCCTTACCACTCTGTGCACAGGCTCAATTATTTCCATCCCACAAATGAGGAAACCAAGCCTCAGAAAGTCAGGTAGCTTGCCCAAGGCTGCACAGTAGCAGGTGGCCGAGGTCCATCTAACGCCAAAACTCTCACCCTTCAACTGTGCCCATGGGGATGGATGGGACTGTGGACCCGGCTCTGACCAACTCCCCGCCCACGTCTGCAGCCTCCATGTACTCGGAGATCCAGAGGGAGCGGGCGGACATCGGGGGCCTGATGGCCCGGCCAGAGTACAGAGAGTGGAACCCAGAGCTCATCAAGCCCAAGAAGCTGCCGAACCCCGTGAAGGCCTCCCGGAGCCACCAGGAGCTGCACCGAGAGCTGCTCATGAACCACAGGAGGTGGGAACGGCGCTCGCCTGCCTCAGCCTGGCAAGCGCCTCGGGCTTCTGGGGCTTGGGGGCAGCCGGGCTGGGGGTCCTCCTGGGGCTCCTGGAGGCTGAGGAGGGCTCAGGGTGCCCCACATGGTCAGAGCAGAAAGCAGGAAGGTCCAGAAGCCCTGTTCTCCCACCCAGCTACCCACTCTGCGCCTGCCCTCCACATGCATTTACTGAGCACCTACTGTGTGCCAGGCCCTGTGCCCAGCGCTGGGGGTACAAGAAGGAAGGGGACCCAGTTTCTGCCCCCCAGAGCGGGTGGCTGGCTAACCAGGTGATATGATGGGTGCTTTGATGGGGGCATAATGGGCCTAGGACCCCAGAGAAGCCAAGGTCCAAGGGAGGGTTCCAAGTTGTCCTTATGGAGGAGGTGATGCCTCCGCAAAGGCCTGAAGGGTGGGCAGGAGTCAGCCAGGCTAGAAGGTGGGTGCTGGCTGGTAGAAGGAAGCGTGTTCCCAGCAGATGGATGAGCATGTGTGAATGGACAGGAAACGCAAGTAGCTCAGTGTGGCTGGAGCATAGATGGTCAGGTGGGCCAGAGGAGACGTGTGAACCTGGGAAGGGTCTCAGGCAGGGGTGTCACAATCCTGGAGGGGGCATGAGTGGAGCAGGGAGGCGGGGGGATGCAATGAGAGACAGGCTTGAGGTGGCAGGGCTGGGACTCGGGTAATTGAGGGAATGTGGGGAAGGAGGAAGGGAGCTGAGCCTCGGCTCCCAGGCCTGGGAAATTCCTCTCTGCTCACCAGTGTGTATTAGGATGAAGGCCGCGGCGCCCTCGCAGCTCCCTCTACTGGCCGGTCCTGGTATTGGCGTGGGCTGTGATTTTCATTCCTGTTTTCAGCGATGTCAAGGGGCCCTCCAGCAGATATCATTTTGTATCCTTAGTGGGGTTTTCTTTCCCATTTAGTATATCATGAGTATTTTCTCTGATTGCCTTTTAGAATCATCCTTTTTCATGTCAAAAAACACCACCACAATTAAAAAAACCTAAAGACAAATCAGGGGAAATATTTGCAATATAAATAACAGACAAAAATTAATATATACATGTCTCTTATAAATCCATAAGGAAAAAATGGACAAAAGATAGGTATAGTTAGTTCACAAAAGAATAAATGCACATGACTGGTAATCATCTCAAAGGCTGTTCCACATGACTAATAATCAAAGAAACATGAATGAAAACCAGATATTATTTCTTGTCTACCAGATTCTCAAAGACAAAAAAATTGGATGGTGACGGTGGGGAGACATAGATGCTCTTGAACACCTTTGACACAGTATAAACTGGATAACCTTTCCTAAGGGGCAGATGGAAATATGTGTCCAAAATCTTTTCAAACAGCCTGACCGAGCAATTCCACCTCTAGAAATTTATCCTGAGAAAATAAACAGAAGTAACATAAAACCTGGTCGTGCAGTCACACAGGCCTGGGTGCAAATCCTCATTCCCCCGTCGTAGCTGTGACTTGGACTGGAGTCCTAAGTCCTGGGAGCCTTGTTTCCCTCCTCTGTATAATGGGACAGTGCTGGTTCCTCCTCCAGGGGCTGCCAGGAGGATTGCCCCAGATAATGGTGTAGCTTGGTGTCACTCAGGGTGCAGCCCTGAGGCTGGGGTAGGGGGAAGCTGGGCTCTCCTGATGGGTCCCCCCTCCGCAGGGGCCTGGGCATCGACAGCAAGCCGGAGCTTCAGCGTGTCCTGGAGCACCGCCGGCGGAACCAGCTCATCAAGAAGAAGAAGGAGGAGATGGAGGCCAAGCGACTGCAGTGCCCCTTCGAGCAGGAGCTGCTGAGACGGCAGCAGAGGCTGAACCAGGTGGGTGGGAACACCCAGCCCTGGCCCGCGCCTCCCTCTGCGGAGGAGCTCTGCATGTGACTGCAGCTGGCAAGAGGGACGAGGTTGAGCAAAACGAGCACTGGATCAGGAGTCCACCACTGGCCTGAGTCCTCACTCTGCCACTCACTTCGCTTTGTGACTTTGGGCCAGTGGCTTCTCCTCTCTGAACCTGTTTCCTCCTCAGCCCAATATATTGCATGCTGATTCTGATTTCATTCTCACAACTGCCCCATGAGCCAGGTGGTGTTCCCATTTTAGAGATGGGGACCCTGAGGCCCAGATGAGGTGAGCGGTTTGAACTAGGCTTTACAGGGACAACTTAGTCTCGTGCTCTGTCCCCCCAGCTAGCAGGCTGGTGGCAAAACTGATCCCCACTTCTGTCTCCCCAAAGAGGACACTGGGTCCAAACCCAGTGGCTTTTGAGACTAGGAATTCCCCTGGCCCCACCCCCTTCACACCTCTGCTTTTCTCTCCCTCAGCTGGAAAAACCACCAGAAAAGGAAGAGGACCATGCCCCCGAATTTATTAAAGTCAGAGAAAACCTGCGGAGAATCGCCACGCTGACGAGTGAAGAGAGGGCCCTGTAGGGCTAGCTGCTGAAGCCCCAGCCCCCCGCAGCCCACCCCGGCCCCCACCCCCTCCTCCAGCCCTTCTGTATCTGGTAGTTCTGGGCCCCAGGCCTTGGGATATCTGTGATGCTTACGCTTGCTCCTGTAAAAATGCATCGCCCCCCTGCCCCCCTCCAGGAGCTGGGGGCCCTAAGCTCCCAGGCTTTCCTTCTGAGCACTCACCTCTCTGCTCCCAAAAGAAGCCACTGCCAGGAAAACCTTCAGCAAGACACCTCTCCCTGAAGGGGCTTCTGAGCCCCGCAGAAATTTTTCTGGCAGAATTGGGTAGGAGGGACAGGTGCCTCTCTGGCCTGACAAGCCCCCCATTCTGCCCAGGCCCTGTGGGGCCCTGCTTCTCCAGACCGCCCAGCTCCCAGGTCTCAGAGAACTTCCCTGCAGCCAGGTGTGGGGCGGCTAAGCAGAGCATCTGGGGACACCTGCCTTGAAAGCCAGCCGCGGGGAGAAGGGTTCACGTGCAGCCGTCCCTGGTGAGGAAGGGCAGGGCAGCCTGCAGGCGGCCTCGGGGCTCCCGTCAGGCCGGGCTGGAAGGGTACAAACGAGACAGCTTCTCTGAGTCGGCCAGCCTTTCCCCCACACCGAGACTTCTATTTCCTCCTCTCCACAGCCCTCCCTGTCCCGGCCTTGTAACCACACCTAGCCAGGGCTGCAGCCTTCCTGCTCCCAGAAGTCTAGAACAGTGCTTCTCAAACTTGATTGTGCCTACAAATCACTGGCGATCTTGTTAAAATACGGCTTCTGATTCTGTAGATCTGGGGTGGGGGCTGAGATCCTGCATTTCTAGCAAGCTCCTAGGCCACTGGTCTGAGGACCACACTCTAAGCAGCAAGGCTGGAGCATCCAGGGGTCACATCGTCCCTGAAGCCATCTCTGCCCGCCGTGGACCTCTGCCCTGGGGGTTCCCACCCACCTCTGCAGCCCCAAGGGCTCTCGATTATTCACCCCACCCCAGGGACCCCAGGCCTGGGAAGACTTTTTTTGCCTAGAAAAGCATGTCGGTCGTGTGATTGTTGCTTTCGCCAGAGATGTATATAATTGCCAATCTGTATTTCTTACCACACTGTTATGATGCAATTCTAGCCAAAAAAAAAGAATTTTTTTTTTTTTACCTTTTCCTTAAGCCCAGGGAGAGCAAATACACAGTGATTTCCAATAGACTTCTGGAAATATGAACAGTGGTTTGAAGACCCCCCTGCCACTCTTAGAGACTGGCCCCTGTGAGTCCCCATTTCCAGCCTCTGCACCTGAGCCCCACACCTGACTTGGTTTCCATCTCTTGGGCCAGCTCCAGTGAGTTGCCCCATTCTTCTTCCTCAAAATTCCCTTCCTACAGGAGACCAGGTGCTTCAACCTTTCGCTCCTATCCCATTTTTAAAGATTCAGAGAATAAACCAGGCCTCTTTCTTTTTCCCCTGAAGAATAAAATCCCTGCCCTAGCCTTATAAACTCATCAGTTGAGGTGACCAGATAGGGCTAGAAGAGCATTTCCTTCCATTCCCCAGAACTACCCGAGTGAGCTGCCGCTGGGATGCTGATGGACCAAAGGCGGGACCTACACGAGGAAAGGGCTCATCCTGGTCTTCCTCCTAACTGGGTGGTTGGAGGGTGACCAAAGACGCCGTCCTCTTCCCGTGTGTGGTCCCGCGTAGGGGTGTAAGTACAGACATGCTGCCTCTGAGTGCGTGTGTACGTCAAGCTCCAAAAGGCTCTGGAATGTGACTCTTAGTGAGAATGTGGAAACACTGTTCTAAATGTCTGCCAGGGGAGATGCACAGTCCCTAAGTAAAGACCACCACTTCCCCAAAGAAGCCGCCCTTGGGGGTCTATGCGTTGTTCAGACATGTGAAGAGAAGCAAGACAGAGTGTCTAGGGTGGAGTAGGCCCCTCCAAGGGAATGCTTGGGATTTCATTCCGTGGTCCCCAGAGGTCCTCCATGGAGGCGGGGAGTCATGGAAACGAAGCCCCAGAAGTAGAAGGGACCTCAAGTACCACGTTGTCCAGTGGAGCCATGGCAGACACCCTTGTTCACTCCCTCGTGATCAGTCCCAACTCCTTCTCTCTAGGCACCTCCCACTGTAGAGGTTGTAAATTTAGATTCTCACTGATCAGCCTCCTTTACAGCTTGGGGTGACCAGGTATGGCCAGTGAAATTTAGGAGGAAGTCTACAGGGGCTTCTGGGAAAACTTATGCTTTTCTGATAAAAGAGACAGACATGGGTAACACCTCCCTGCCCCTCCCTTCTTCCTGCCTTGATTGAGGATGTGATGCCTGGAGCCACAGCAGCCATTTTGCTACAATGAGAAAAAGGCCAAGAGAATCTCAGAGACATTGACCCTATCATCATTTGACCAAGCCAATGCCAGCAGCCATCCTCCTCCAGAATTCTTGTAAATAAAAATAAAGCCTTCTTTGTTTAAGCCACTGTTGGTCAGTCTCTGTTACTTGCAGCCAAAAGCATTCCTAACTAACATAGAAGGCCAGCCCTGCTGCCCAGAATTACCTTTGGACTGTCTGAAAATCAAGATTCCTCTTTCCTGTCAGAAACCTATTGAATCAGGATCCCCAGCAGTGCCTGGGGTCTGTTTTTCTGCACCTTGTCCATGTAGCCTATGTGGCACCAGTCTGAGAACTGGTATTTGGGCATCACTAATTCACACATCATTCAATAAACATTTGTTGAGTGCCTGCTCTGTGCCAGGAAGCAGGCCGTGTGCTGGGGGCACAGTGGGAAACAAAGCATCTGGGTTCTGGCAGTGGCCTCCTCCTAGCTAGTCTCCCTGGTTCTGCCCCCGCCCCTACAGCCTGTGCTTAACAGAGCAGCCAAAATGATCCTGTTAAAACCTAAGGCAGGTCCGGTCACCCCTCTGCACAGAGCCCTCCACTGGCTCCCAGTAGAGTCCTTTCTAGAAGGTCCTATGTGTCCAGCTCCCTCTTAACCTCTGTCCTACTTCCCACTGCTCTCCCCTCGCTCTCACAGCTCCCAGCAGCCTGGCCTCCACACCTCAGCACCCTTTCACCTGCCGGTCCGTGGCCAGGAGTGATCTTTCTTCAGAGAGCCACACAGCCCACTCTGCCATTCTTCAGGTCTTTTTTCATGCTGTTTCTAAACAAAGCCCCCATCTAATATCTTGGCATCTCCTACACACTTCCCATCCCTTCCTTCCCTGCCTTAGTTTTCCTCTTTACCATTTATTACCATCAAACACATTATATACTTGATTTGTTTATCTTGTGTGTCTCTCCTAACGATAATGTCAGCTCCACGAGGGCAGAGATTTTTGTCTGTCCTGTTTATTGCTGAATCCCAAATGGCCTTCCTTCCTCCTTCCCTGCCAGCAGGTGGCCCGCCCTGTGCCAATCTGGCAGAGTGGGCCCCAGGGACAGGAATCCCAGCCCCATCCCACTCACAGCTTTGAGAAAAGGCAGTGGCCAAATAGGGCAGATGGCACAGAGTGGGTGCTCACTGATGTTTGTTGAATGAATGAGTGAGTGAGTGAGAAACCCCTTCCCCCACTTCTGCTGCAGTACACCCAGCCTGCTCCTGTCACCGTCACCCACCTACCTCCTTCCTCCACAATCTTGACCCTGGCCCAGAGATGCCGGTGTGGTCCAGAAGCTCTCCCTGGTCTCTTGGGCTTTTGTCACCTGGGCCCTACTAGCACTTGTGCCCGCAGGACCCGCGTTGGAGCTGCGTCCAGAGAGTTAGATCACCCCTGAAGGCAAAGGTCAGGCCGTCACCCAGTCCTGGGGACCTTGAAGAAAGACAGAGCTGCTGCAGTGGCTCTGACGTCAGACCCTGCCCTCAGTGGGGAGCGGAGAGCAGCAGGCCCCGTTCTCCCTGGGGCCACACTCTCACGCCCCCAGACCACAAGCATTCGTCTGGGTTAGGAGAGCACGCTCTGCAATGGTGGACCAGCACCAAACAAAACCCGGGAGAGAGAGGGAAGACCTCAGCGGGCCAAGGGGCCCTCCCGCCCTGGTTCTGCAGTGTGAGCTCCGGGGGAGCCCTCCAAACCCAGCCTCGCCGCACTTGAGACGATACCAATCCCGAGCCCCATGAGAGCAGGCATCTTGTCTGACTCTGCTCACCTTTACCAGTCCTGACTCAGGGCTCTGCACAGAGTAGGTGTTCAAAAAAGTTGTGAATGGATGTGAGTGATGACCACTGCATTTATGGAGGGCCAGCATGTCACCAGCCATGACAATTCAGTATCATCCTCCCCGTTTTGCAGATGAAGAAACCAAGCCTCAGGTAAATTGAGGGACTTGCCAGAAGTCACCAAACAATGCCTGGGGAGACATGAGATTCGCACAGAGCCATCTGTCTGGAAAGTCTGCATTTTTCCGTTATGGCCAGGCCTCGCTCCTAGAAAGGGCTCATAGGAGGCCCCTGTGCCACCCTGACCTTTTGTCACAAGATTCTCAGGAACCTATTTCACCTTCCATTTGTCCATCTGAACTTGAGGGATTGGGCCTCCACCTCTGAAAATAGACTCAGGCCAATGCAGACCAACGTGAGTCCTGGGGTGAGGAATGTCTACACACTGCCATGGCCCCACTCCCAATGTCACGCCCCCACCCCTGAAGCCAACCAGTCTCTGGGGCCAACCAACGGTTAGACTCCGTCTCGGCGGGATTCCTGCCACCTTGCAGGACTGGACCTATGGCTCAGCAGTGGCCTAAATGATTTGATGCTCAGTGCCCCCAAACACCCACCACCCCAACCACCTTGCTCCCACCAGGGCCTTGCCTTATGACACCCCCTCTTGCTGGGCCTCACAAGAACAGAGCCCTCACTCTCCCAGTGGTTAATTGCTCTCATCTCAGCCTGTCACAATTATTTGATTCGATGATCGGCTGGCACTCACTCAGACAGGACACAAGGGCTGGGCTTCTTTTCCAAAACCGGCCCTCTCATTAAGAGCGCCCATCCACTGCCCAGAAAAGACTCGTAGAGAGACGGGTAGGATTGCCCAGTGAGGGACCCCGGCAATGCTCCTGGGCTGCCTGGCAACAGCTAAGCGAGCTGGGGTTCCCCCTTCCAAGGAAAGGCTTCCTATGGGACCAGTGCACCCAAGCTCACCCTTTTGGGTGCCCAACCTAAAATGCTCATTCCCCCTGCAAGGCCAGCATCAGGCTCGCCCTGTAAAGACGGTTAATTCCGGGCCCAGACCTGGATTCAAGCCCCAGCTCTGCCAATCACTATTTGCCACAAGCCTGGGCAACTGGCTGGACCACATTTTCCACATCTGTGACACAGGCGATGATTTCCACACTTATGGAACATTTAGTGTCTGTGCGAGGGACTGGGCTAAATACTAAATGCGAATTCTCTCATTGAATCCCCCAGGACTGTCATTACCTCCATCTTACAGGTGAAGAATTCAGTTTAGAGAGGCAACGCCACTGCCCAGGCACACGGGCAGCAGGGGGCAGAAGCGAGGTGTGAGCCCACGTGTGCCTGACCGGAGCCCGCACCGTCATCCTGGCAGCATCGCTGCTGGAGGCTGCAGAAGGATGTTTTGCAAAGCACCCACATTCAAGCTTTCCCATCTGTTACCAGAAACATCCTGCAAGCATTCTGAGGCCAAACGGCCTTCCTCCTTCCTCCTTCCCTGCCAGCACGTGGCCCGGCCCACGCCCATCTGGCACGGTGGGCCCCAGGGACGAGAATCCCAGCCTCATCCCACTCACGGCTTTGAGAAAAGGCAGTGGCCAAATGGAACGCAGGGGCCCACACGCCTGCCCTTGGCCCAGGAAGCTCAGAGAAGGAGCAGGAAGGAGAAAAACACGCAGTGAGCGCCTACTGTGTGCCTGGCAGGTCCTGGAACGTGAGAGAACAGACACAAAGCACCTAGCCCAGGGCCTGGCCCATCACAAGGATGGAAGTCCCTTCTCCCAGCCCCCCATTCTCTCCCCTTTAGGGATATCTTCACAGGTGGCACAGCATGGCTGTTAAAAGCCCAGGCTACAAAGTCAGACGGACTTAAGATTTGGGGTGGGAGGGGAGGGATCTAGCTTTGCCACTCGCCAGATGGGTGACCTTGACAATTTACTTAATATCTCTGAGTTTCTCTCTGTTCAATGAGGGTTATTCATTTAACTCAGCCTCACAGGTCACTGAGACGACTGAGTGAACAAATATAAAATGTTGGGCAAGTGCAGGTACACAGCCAGCGCTCAATAAAAGTTAATTATCATCTTCCCTCTCCTCGGTAGTTGCATTCTGTCATATCTGTCACTGACCCAACCCCTCCAAGTCCTATTCTACTTGTTTATTTCTCCTAGTCCCTAAGCTTGTCTGGCGTCCAGCCCTCCCTCTTGGGCCACCCCAAGACCGC